CTCTTTTCATTTGGAGTCCGATTGGAAATTTCCATGGCCTTGCCGCTGGTTGTCGGTGTCTTTCTAGTAGCCAGTCTGTCCGTCTGCACAGTAGACAGTCCAAGACCCTACCGTATCGTAGATGCCCGCGTCTCTCCTTCTCTCTTGCCAGAACTTCACAGTACAGTGTACTGTACTGTACAGTACGAGTCACGCCCATCCCGCCATGTACAGTACAGTATTTTAAACACTGCTGTACAGTGTACAGTGGGCAGTGGACAGTGGATAGTAGTGTAAAGTACTGCTTGAACAATACCGGTGGCCACTTAGCAGCCAACTAGAAGAGACTCCATTACACACACTACTTTTAGAGTTGAGGCGTAGGTATGTTCTGAGGCACAGCGCCATCGATCTCTTTTTATTTGGAGTCCGATTGGAAATTTCCAATGGCCTTGCCGCTGGTTGTCGGTGTCTTTCTAGTAGCCAGTCTGTCCGTCTGCACAGTAGACAGTCCAAGACCCTACCGCATCGTAGATGTCCGTCTCTCCTTCTCTCTTGCCAGAACTTCACTGTACTGTACAGTGTAGGATGTAAAGTACTGCATAAATGACGAGTGTAAAGTACTGTACACTGTGTGGTCTCTGTACAGTGTACAGTGGGCAGTGGACAGTGGATAGTAGTGTAAAGTACTGCTTGAACAACACCGGTGGCCACTTAGCAGCCAACTAGAAGAGACTCCATTACACACACTACTTTTAGACTTGAGGCGTAGGTATGTTCTGAGGCACAGCACCATCGATCTCTTTTTATTTGGAGTCCGATTGGAAATTTCCAATGGCCTTGCCGCTGGTTGTCGGTGTCTTTCTAGTAGCCAGTCTGTCCGTCTGCACAGTAGACAGTCCAAGACCCTACCGTATCGTAGATGTCCGTCTCTCCTTCTCTCTTGCCAGAACTTCACTGTACAGTGTAGGATGCAAAGTACTGCATAAATGACGAGTGTAAAGTACTGTACACTGTGTGGTCTCTGTACGTACAGTGTACAGTGGGCAGTGGACAGTGGATAGTAGCGTAAAGTACTGCTTGAACAACACCAGTGGCCACGTAGTAAATGGCCGCAGGTCAAGGGACTCTGTCCTAACTGGATGAAAATATTCTCGTCATTTATTCATTAACAAGCTTATAACGTCTTTAAAATATTCTTGAAATTTAGTCGTCTCCACACCTAGTTTGATTAGAATTGATAGCACCACGAGTGAGTGTTGATTGAATTCTACTTTACTACGACGCTTGACTAAATCATATGGGTGGATAGGCCTAAAAAGTCGCTCAAGTTCTTGACGTGTTGGTACGCGTGTTCAATAGTAGGTAAGCGTACTTACCATAACTGGATATTATTATGAATAGTAATTATTAATGACTGTGAATCAACGTAATCAATCGTACTATGAATTAAGTCTGCGATTCTTCCTTCTTTACCATAATTCTCCATGATATAGATTAGCTAAGCGTAGTACAAGATGTGGAATCGAATTAGTGAAGCTGCTAAAAATGCTCGTGAGATTGTGGAAGATTATACTCGTCCTCCTGATAATTCGTCTCTAGCGGATATCGAGTCTGGTGCTCATATGGCCAGTACGCCGCAAAAGGTAGACGGATAGATACTGTATAGGATAAGATAACTAGTTGGATAGCTGGAATAGTCTTCTTATTCAGATGACTACTTAACTACAACATGAGTTTAAACTGACGATCAGTACTACAGTCTTAGTGAAAGTAATAAAGGATAAATACTTAAACAGGTTGGAATAGATCCTGTAAGTTGTACTTATTGCAATGACTTAAACAAGTCATACGATGATGCTTGATGTCATAGTTTGCGAATACTTCAAAGTCTCATGATTGATGATATTATGTAGTCTAGATAATACGATACTGTAATTCAAAAGATTAGTCTCTCTACTCGTTTTGTAGTCCATCATCTTGCTTGATCGTGTATTTGCTTGGAATAAAATCAAAAATCAAACTAAGCAATGAATGAACGAGAAGTTATTGTCATTGATATTGTACTATTAATAAATAGATATTACTCATGTTGATTGAATCATATGTAATTACGTCAGTCCCTTATTCTGTGCTTGATGGGTGAAAAACTGAATTTCTTGTACTAGGCAGTATAATATTACAAGATACAACTTTGACGTAGTATCATACACAACCCAGATGAGATCGGATAGTCATGCACTTGTAGTAAAGCAATCCCAAGGCCTTTGCTTGGTGTAAGCTAATTAGTTATGACTTCCATTCTGATCCAGTACCTATGCATAAATATTTAAGGTACATAATATTATTTTCTATTATATCTTCGAGCTTATGAAATCGGATAGTTGAACACTTTTTAAGGACAGTCTTCTATACTAGATATACGTTATGATAAATTATTACTTAAAAATTCGACGTAATTTTATGGATTGTTAGTAAAATTGGATACTGTGCATTGACTCATGCTAGAATATAAAACTCCTATACAAAATCTCAATCATCATACACTTAATCTGAATTAGATATCTGATAATTAAACACCTACGAGTAATATCTACATGACTCAAGTTTTAGCAATATAATTTTAGTAATATAGTGTACACTAGTTCGTATACTACAATACAGAACTTAGATGAATACCGGACAATCGCACACATACGCGTACATAAAAAATGCTTAATGCATAATAATCATCACTTTATTTTTGAAACTATGTACCGGCCGTATATTACAGACTGATTATCCTTATATAACTACAGAATTTATTTGAAACATGATAAATCAGACGCTCTTTTAAAATATTATAAGCTCAATAGATTCAATTAGATAATGTGGTAGCGTATCCATAAATGGACCGTAATA